ATACCCTCAACTTTGGAAAGGAGGGTGTATTAAGTTTGGCATTCTGTTTGTAACATCCCTAAATATTCGTCGTAGACCCCATAAACTATATATATTCATAATCAACATAAAATGCTAAGTCGATTTAACGATATCCGTCTGTGTCTGTTGAAATCACGATATAGCCCACATTATTTGACGTAGAGCGTTTGGCAGAACAATTAGTATTGTACCTAGGATGGTTGGTATTGAAAATGAGATATATCGGTCTACGTTTCGGTATAGTCCCCATATAACGATACCTACCGATATTCGGTATTTTGATGATTTTTGCCACATTTTCCCACGATTTTGTCTAAAAATTAATATTTGTAGGTCATAATGAGTTCTAATGATTCCTTTACCCTAAGGTGGAAGGTATTAAAAGATCGACCAGGTCGAACTAGATGTTTTTTTTGTACATGTTCTATTGCTTTACTTTTACTTTTTGAAAACATTTTTACTTTGCGGACACTTGTTAGTATCTTTTAACACGTTTCAAAAATCATTCATTTTCCCTGGCATTTTCCACATTACTTCTCTCCCCAGGAATCACATCCATATACATATGTCATGTCTCATATCCATTTATCACATAGCCTGAGGTGCAATGACAAATCTGCTACCACAACCTAATCAGATTTTCTTGCATGACATAATTTTACCGAATACTAATCCCGATTTTCCTTTGATATGTGATCGACGACCATAAAATGTTAGTGTGCCACATATAATTTGCAAAATTTGAAACAAGTTTTCTTTGTTTCCAATTAATCTGTTTTTGCTTGCATAATCACATTTTGAAAGGATGATATCTGGCAACGATGCTGAAAAAGAAAATATAAAAATGACCACAAAAAAAAAAAAAAAAAAAAAGGTGGCTGTCTGCCTGAATGACCAGCCGGCGGCAATATCTATTGAAAAACACGTACGAAAAACGATATAAACCAATATCAAATGGAGATGTACACTAGGTGGCTAAGGCGAATGTAATAAGCTGTGTAGCAAAGCGCTCATAAAATAACTTTGCTTTAAAACATTAAAATTATAAAACATCTAATTTGGTGGGGTGCTTTGTATTTTGTAGATAATTGATACACTACAGTTGCGGGTTTGTACCAAGGGAACTAAGAAATTATGTAACAAATTAAATGAACAGGAAAAATATTTTTTTTAAGAAATCCAGGATTATTGCCTTAATAATACAGTGTTTATACTATTGAAGATTATCCCACTAGAAAAATAAGCCCAAGGAAAATAATGTGTCTTCCAATGTTTATCATTAGCAAATAAAATTATAATTTTGTTTTATTGTTCCAATATAAAATGAAAAAACACCTCTGCAGTAAACATACTAATGACGTACCATGGTAGAAGAATATAGGTAGACCATGGCAGAAGAATACAGGTAGATGCATCAACGCTTGGGAGCATTGATATGTCAAAAAAAAAAATAAATGTTTTTTCAAACATAAGTAGATTTTTATATGTTTTCTTATACTACGTCATTCTGAAGCTATTATAATTCGCGTTTTTCAACAATTTTTACAAATTTAAATAATTTTTTATTCAACAATTTCAATTCATAATGTGGTTTGACAGTTCATTGTCCCAGCAGCTGTGTCGACGCGTTTACCTATATTCTTCTTCCATGAGGTAGACGCATCGACGCAGTTACTGGGACAATGAACTGTCAAACCAATTTTGGAATTGAAAATGTTGAATGAAAAATTATTTAAACTTGTAAAATGCTTAAAAAAGGCATACTATAATAAGCTCCGAATGACGACGTATAAGAAAACATATAAAAATCTACTTATATTTGGAAAGAAATTTAAAAATTTTTGACATATCAATGTTCCCAAGCGTTGATGCATATACCTGTATTTTTCTACCATGTGTCGTACTCATGCTGTACCTGTTAGGGCTCCATCAGGCGATATGTTTTTTACATATCTAGTGTCAAATTTTCCACATATAGAAGTTGCATACGTCATGTGATACATGGATACAGTTGTGTAATACATGAATAATGTACATACGCAACTTTCCGATCTCAGCGAGCCCTATTTTCATGGGATTCTTCGAGAATGTAACCAAAGATACAAAAAAAAATGCAAGTATGTGATACCAAGATTTCTGAGTCATATGTAAAATGGCAATTTTGACATACACACGGAAATACACATGGGAAATAATAGTGACAGCACGTATGTAAACCCCTTTTGACTGGCTTAAAGGTGAGAATACATAAAAAGCTTTTTCGACTGCCTTCTTTGGAAAAGAACAAAGGAGCGTAGGGATAAAATCTAACTAAAGGTGAGAATACATAAAACGCTTTTATGAGTGGCTTGAATCAACGACGGCCTTCTTCGTAGAGGAACAAAGTAGTTTTAGGTACACTTAGTTCCATTTTGGCCCTACGCTCTTTCGTTCTTTTCCGAAGAAGCCAACCGATGACTTAAGCCAGCAAAAAAAAAGGTTTTATGTATTCTCACCTTAAGTCATCGACTGGCATCTTCGGAAAAGAACAAAGGAGCATAGGGTCAAAATCAAACTAAGTCTAACTAAGACTCCTCTGTTCCTATATGAAGAAGCCAGTCAAAAAAGAGTTTTATGTATTCTTACCTTTAGCGTCTGATAGCAGCTTGAGTATGATTTATGATTTAAAATAAACCCGGTTTTGAGATCTATTTTTTTTTTCATAAAATCTGGTTGAAAAATCTGAATTAAACAATAAATCTTGTTGTATCTAAACGTCCTATAAGTCAATCTTAATGTCCAAATACATAATAAGGCTGGAAATACATAAAGCGCATTTTTGGCTGGCTTAAGTCATCGGCTGGCTTCTTCGTAGAGGAACAAAGGAGTTTTAGGTTGACCTAGTTCGATTTTGGCCCTAGGCTCCTTTGTTCATTTCCGAAGAAGCCAGCCGATGACTTAAGCCAGCCAAATAAGCGCTTTATGTATGCCCAGCTTTATAATTTTTTTTACTGGCTTAAATTATCGGTAGTCTTCTTCGTAAAAGATGTCAGTCGATGACTTAAGAAAGTCAAAAAAAGCGTTTCATGTGTTCTCACTGTAACGGTGTGGGTACATAAGCAGTCAATTTTGTGACATATAAAGGAATGGCAAAGCCGCACTCAATTTCTGCCGTCGTTTCCCTTTATAATTTGACATTTATATGCTTAGCCATAATGCCAAGCTGCTTATGTACCCTCGCCTAAAAAGTGAGAATACATAAGAAGCCAGGCGATGGCTTAAGAGTGGAAATACATAAAGCCCATATTTTTGGCTGGTTTAAGTCATCGGCTGTTTTCTTCGTAGATGAAGAAAGGAATTTTAGGTTGACTTAGTTCGATTTTGGCCTTAGGTAACTTTTTTCATTTCCAAAGAGGACAGTCCGATAAGCGCTTTATGTATTTCCACCTTAAGCCAGTTAAAAAAGCGTTTTTTGTATTCTCACCTCATGTGGTCTCTCCTTTATGCTAGGAACACAATTGGAGCGAACGACGAATTTCGCCCTACGCGGCGACAAAATGAGCCGCGAAAATTCGTCGTATGGAACACAATACCGACGAAATTATAAAACAGCTGATGAAGTTGTTTACTTTTTGCTCATTTGTTGACTACAATGAAAATTATACAAGAACTCATAATTCTTTATAATTTCAGTTATGTCCATCTTTTCTATTATAAATTCACTGATATCCATCTTCACTCAGGCGCAAGTGCACAAATAAATAAACAAATTATTTATGTTTTTTTTATACGAATAACAGATAGTAGAGTGACCATAACAAATTTTTAAGTAAAAAGTAACTTTATTTACTAAAACACATAAAATTCGTACAAGTATGGCCACCTTGTACTGTTTTGTCGCCGTTCGCCGGCGTATGAAATAGAAATAAAGCTAATTGAGTTCGCGGCGACCGACGAAATTTTCGCCGGCGGGTGATTGTGTGCACTTCCATATACACATATGGTTTTTATTTTTGACGACGAACATACGCCGCGAAAAAATTCGTCGTTCGCTCCAATTGTGTTCCTAGCATTATGTTAAAAAAATGTTAGGTTGACTTAGTTCGATTTTGGTCCATAAAGTCTTATCTTCATTTATGAAAACGCGAGCCAGTGACTTATGCTGGAAAAAATTCTCGTATGTATTTTCACCTTAAAAATAGAAGGCCGATATTAAACTGTGATTTATCGTGGAATTATTTAGACAATTCTTTTTGTTCCCAGTGCAGGGAAATTTCTCCAACAGAAAATAATAAGAAACATATGTATGTTTCATCTTTGTACCACAAAATGGTCACTAAGTTACTTGCATTTTTAGTAAATTATGTCACATTTCCCTACCACCATTGCATAATTTCCCACTCCAGACTTTCACTTTTCACCCGCGTCTCACCAAAAAAGATGTGTCTATGGAAATTATAATCAAATCCTTATTGAACAATGGCCAGATCGAACAAACATTATGCCACCGCAGTAAACCATCATTAAAATGGACACCGCCACCATCAACAACAGACAACAGAACCAACAACAGAAACCCACAAGCCGCCATCCCATACCCATTGTATTACGAATGTGGACTGCATCTTCAGTTTTCAGTTCAGACAAAAATTACCACAAAACTGGTTAGTCATTTGCCACTGCATTTGGGCCTGTAGGGGGGGATCTTCAGCCACTTGGCCATTGAAGAAGCCTTTGCGCAAAACATCTCTTCTCCGAGTATTGCCAAAAAATTGCAATTATCTATCAAAAAGTTTTTCCGGTTATAAAACGATGTGACTTTTCATCTGATTTTCAGGCAGGTAGGCCGACGGGGAGGTAGATCTGCACACAAACGCTAAAGAAACAAATATCGTGGCGGAAAAAAGTGCAAGTTATTGTCTGTCGTTGGTGTCAACGACGATGGCGACGCTGAGGATGATGATGATGACGATGGTGGTGGCGGTGATGACTATCCAATAACAAAGCCCCACTCTTTTGTGCGGTGGTATAAATATACAGCACATCTGCCATTTGGAGTCAGTTAGTTACAAGTCTTGGATACACAATTCACTGCTAGCTAAGAAAGCAAGAAACGGGAGAGGAACTGCCATAACAAAAGGAATAAAGCCCAATTCACCATGAAAGTACGTTACAAAAATTTTGAATTTGAAAAAAACAAGTTGCCATCAAAGCAAAGGACATTCGAAAAAGGGAAAACATGTGTGCGTTGTGAATAATCAAAGGAAATTAAAGTGAAACAAAATTTCTACAATCAGAAAATAAAATTAGAAAAATCCTTTGGGTTTGACTTTATAGTGTGATTCGAAAGAAAATGTAAAAAAAAAAAATAATAAATTTCTTGCAACTGGGTTGTGCCGTGGTTTACGCTATGTGTCATGCAAAATAAATTGAACAACTGAAACCAGGATTACACTCAGCCAAACCTATATTACAAATCCCTACAATTTAGGGTTACCGTCACTTTGAAAATAAGGCAAAAGTTGAGAGAACATACAAGGTTTTTTGGCTTCCTTAAGACATCGACTGGCTTCTTCGTAAAAAACAAAGGCGTTTTAGGTTGACTTAGTTCGATTTTGACCCTTTTCTCCTTTGTTCTATTCGAAGAAGTCAGTCGATGACTCAAGCCAGTCAAAAAAGAGTTTTATGTATTCTCACCTTAACTGAGATGATGAATACCAAACAAGCCACCCTGACATTGCTTTTTACATCTTTAAGCAATTATTAGAAGGGTTGTACATATGTACTGTCACTTATATTATCCATGTGTACTTTCGTGTGTATGTTAAAATTTGCCATTTTACATATGGCTCATGATTCTCACTATCACACACTTGCATATGTCTTTTATATTTCCTTTGGGTACATTGTGATCATATTGATTTTTAAAAAAAAAAATATGATACTTCATGAATGATTTCTTAAAGAAAAATTTAATTTGGTATATTTTCACACAAGAAACAAACAATACTTTTGATTAAATTATATTTTTCCGATGAAAATAGGGCTCGCTGTGGTCGAAAAGTATTGACACAGCTGCTGGGATAATGAACTGTCAAACCAATTTTAAAAATGAAAAATTATTCAAATTCATTAAAATTGTTAAAAAAGGAATATCACAACAACCTCTGAATGGTGTCGCATAATGAAAACATATAAAAATATATTTATTTTTGAAAAAAAAATGTAAATGCTGACATATCAATGTTCCCCTGCATTCTTCTGACATGAAATGTACTTTACTTATGTATTTCCTAAGTGAAATGTCGTCCATGTATCACACGATGTGAGCAACGTCTACATATGGAAAATTTGACACTACATATATAACATATCGTCTGATAGAGCCTTTACATGTGAGAACATGGCAAAACAATATAAATCAAATATGGCAAACCTTCTCCAACAAACTCGACCTTGTCATTTTTCAAATGGAGATTTTATATACTGCATTTTAAGGTGCAGATACATAAAAGGCTTTTTTACTGGAATAAGTAACCGATTTGCTTTTTTTCATGAAATTATAGGATAAAATTAAACTGAGTCAACCTAAAACTCTTTTGGTGTTTTACAAAAAAAAGGACTTCGGCCGGGGCTTTAGATTTTCTCCTCTGAGTATGTCATACACCGGCTAACGCGAACCAAAGTTTTCTAAATTTGACATTTTTTGTAAATAGCCGGCCTTCGGCCGGGGCTTGAGATTTTCTCCTTTGGGTATGTCCCAGCCGGCCTTCGGACTAGAATTCGAGAGAATTTAGCAGTCTAAACGCTAAAACCGGTGACTTATGACAGCTGGTTGGCATCTTCGTAAAAGAGCAACGAGCGAGCAAAGGCCTAAAGGTGAGATTATATAAAACGCTTTTTTGGCTGGCTTCTTCGTAGAGATACAAAGGAGTTTTAGGTTGACTTAATTCAATTTTGGCTCTATGCTCCTTTCTAAGCCAGTCAAAAAAGAGTTTTATGTATTCCCACCTTAAGTCAACCTAAAACTTCTCGGTTCTGGCTGGCTCCTTCGTAGATGAACAAAAGAGTTTTAGGTTGACTTAGTTCGATTTTGGCCCTAGGCTCCTTTGTTCATTTCCGAAGAAGCCAGTAGATGACTTAAGCCAGTCAGAAAAGCGCTTTATGTATTCCCACCTTAAGTTCTGGGCCAAAAATTGATCTAAATCCTCCTAAAGCTCCTTTATCGACTAAATATTGTCCACTCTTATAATCTCATCGAACAAAATAAGCTATAAAACAATTCGATGCGCAAGTATCTTGTTCCAAGTTTTGTCATTTAAAAGGAATTAGGGTGGAAATACATAAAGCGCATATTTGGTTGGCTTAAGTCATCGCCTGGCTTCTTCGTATATGAACAAAGGAGCTTCAGATTGACTTAGTTTGATTTTGGCTCTAGGCTCCTTTGTTCATTTTCGAAGAAGCCGCCGATGACATAAGCCAGCCAGATAAGCGCTTTATGTATTCCCACATTTAAGCCTGTCAAAAAACCTTTTATGCACTCTCACCTTAATTGTTACCACTCCGCCTTAAATTATGCTTTAAAATGTATTAATTTATTTATTGTACAAAAAATAATAATAATTATCCTTTTGTATCTCTTAAATAGTGTTAGTGATTTTGGTCCTCAATCCCAGCGGGTTCGCCATAAAATTTAAATTTTATTTTTTTTCTATATTTCAGGCTTTTGTTTGTTTACTCATAATTGGTGTTGCTTCGGTAACAGCCAAACCAAAGCCTGGCGGAGGTGGCGGCTGGTCTAGTGGTGGCGGAGGAGGAGGTGGAGGAGGCTGGTCTTCGGGTGGCGGAGGCGGTGGTGGCAGCGGTGGCGGTGTACAAATAATTAAAATAATAACAGAAGATGGTGGTGGTGGCGGCGGAGGTGGCGGTTGGTCTTCTGGTGGTGGTGGAGGCGGCGGTGATTGGTCGTCTGGCGGTGGTGGAGGAGGTGGTTGGTCCAGTGGTGGTGGTGGCGGAGGAGGCGGCGGTGGTGATATTAAAATCGTGAAAGTCATTAGCTTAGGTGGTGGAGGAGGAGGCGGCGACGGAGGTGGTGGTGGCTGGTCATCTGGAGGAGGTGGTGGAGGTGGCGGCGGTTGGTCATCAGGAGGAGGTGGTGGTGGCGGCGGCGGTGGTTCCACCAAAATCATCAAAATAATCAAATTGGGAGGCGGTGGAGGTGGTGGCCATGGCGGCGGAGGTGGTGGCGGTTGGTCTTCAGGTGGCGGTGGTGGTGGAGGCTGGCAACCATCCGGTGGCTGGGCTTAAGCTCACTTCCTACACACCCATTTTGCCAAAATTTTATTTGTACATATTGTTGTAAATAATGCTTTGTATTTTGTACATACCTATGTATATGCAAACATATTTTTGTTTCATAAATAAAAATTGTATTTTTTTACAAAAAAATAACTTGAATGAAATATTTACATTCAAAAAATATCTGTGGTCCCAATTCTTGTTCTATGGAAATATGTAATAAAAACTTTTATGTGGAAGATATTTTCCATTTCATGTTCGTATGACTATTTTATGCTAGTTTTTAAGGATCAGATTCCTATAGAAAATAGGGACTTATCACTGATTTGTAAATATTCAATGGACTTAGGGTGGAAATACATAAAGCGCATATTTGGCTGGCTTAAGTCATCGGCTGGCTTCTTCGGAAATGAACAAAGGAGCCTAGGGCTAAAATCGAACTAAGTCAACCTAAAACCCCTTTGTTCATCTACGAAGAAGCCAACCGATGACTTAAGCCAGCCAAATATGCGCTTTATGTATTTCCACCCTTAAGGTGCAGATACATTCTTACATTAGGCATGTAAAAAGCCTTCTTTACATGCTTAAAGTAAGAATGCATAAAGGTGGGAACACGTAAAGCGCTTAATTGTCTACCTTAGGGTTGAAATACATAAAGCGCATATTTGGCTGGCTTAAGTCATCGGTTGGCTTCTTCGTAGATGAACAAAGGAGTTTTAGGTTGACTTAGTTCGATTTTGGCCCTAGGCTCCTTTGTTCATTTCCGAAGAAGCCAGCCAGAAAAGCGCTTTATGTATTTCCACCCTTAGTTCGATTTTGGCCCTAGGCTCCTTTGTTCATTTCCGAAGAAGCCAGCCAGATAAGCACTTTATATATTTCCATTTTTAAATCATCGGATGACATATGAACAAAGGAGCCTAGGTTCAAAACCGAGCTAAGTCAACCTAAAACTCCTTTGTTCCTCTACGAAGACGCCAGCAGATGACTTAAGGCTGGAACTACATAAGGCGCATATTTGGCTGGCTTAAGTCATCGGCTGGCTTCTTCGTAGATGAACAAAGTAGTTTTAGGTTGACTTAGTTCAATTTTGACCCTAGGCTCCTTTGTTCATTTCCGAAGAAGCCAGCCGATGACTTAAGGCTGGAAATACATAAAGAGCATATTTGGATGGCTTAAGTCATCGGCCGGCTTCTTCGGAAATGAACAAAGGAGCCTAGGCCCAAAATCGAACTAAGTTAACCTAAAACTCCTTTGTTCATCTACGAAAAAGCCAGCCGGTGACTTAAGCCAACGAAATAGGCTCTTTATGTATTTCCAGCCTAAGCCAGCCAAATAAGCGCTTTATGTATTCCCAGCTTTAGCCTCCTGTGTGACTTTTTTAAATAGACCTTGTTATAACCCCTTAAAACAAGGTGTTAGGTATAAATTACGTACTGTATAAATATAAATACAGTACTTAAAGGTGGGATTACATAAACGTTTTTGTCATTAGCTGGCTTCTTCGTAGATGAACATAGGAGCTTTAGGTTGGCTTAGTTCGATTTTGGCCCTAGGCTCCTTTGCTCATTTCCGAAGAAGTCAGCCGATGACTTAAGCCAGCCGGAAAAGCGCTTTATGTATTCCCAGCTTAAGTCATCGGCTGACTTCTTTCGAGTAGAGGAACGAAAGAGTTTTAGGTTAATTTAGTTTGATTTTGACCCTAAACTCCTTTGTTTTTTTTTCAGCCGATGACTTAAGCCAGTCAAAATGGCGTTTTATGTTTTCTCACCTTAAGTCATCTGCTTGCTTCTTCGTAAAAGAACAAAGGAGTTTTACGTTGACTTAGTTCAAACTCGGCCCATAATTTATACCTTACAACTTGTTTTAAATGGTTATATCGAGGTCTATCCAATAAGGTCACACAGGAGGCGAATTGGGACCTTCAGCTTAAATGTGCAGATATATAGAAGTATTTTTTACGGGCTTACGTCTTTGGCTAGCTTTTTCGTAAAAGAACAAAAGAGTTTAGGTTGACTTAGATCAATTTCAGCCCATAATATATACTTGTGGACCCTACGCCTCTTTATTTTTTTAGGAAGAAATCAGCCGATGACTTTATCTAAAGCAAAAACCGTCTATGTATATGCACTTTTGAGCTGAAAATACATAAACGGTTTTTTAACTGGTTTAATAGTACGTTTACACATGGTACAATGAAGAGAAGGTAGGTCAACTTTGAAGAAATTGCAAGTATAGAGGTCTACCTGTTTGGCTTGTAATGTCAGGATTAGTATCAAAACAATAAAAAATCAAACAACTTGTTGTATTTATTTTGAATAAATAATTGAAAACGCGATAACTGAATGAAAGGTCAACACTTCTTTTCAAAATCATGTACTATATATCTCTAAAGGATTATTTCGCTACAAAAACTCTAGATTTTGTCGATGCATGCGTTGAAATGAACATTTTGAAAACACACGAAATTGCATTTTTTCTGAACAATTTTTTGTTATTAAAAAGAAAACACATACATAAACAAATAAAGATGACATATTAGGCCAAGAAAATAAAAAAAAATAAAATCATATGGTATCATAGCCCTACCTTGATATCATTGTACCATGCGTTTACATACGTCTGGAATGAAATCACAACAGATCTTGTGTTAGTAGAAATAATGGGATGTGTGAAACATAAAGAGAAGCCAATGCTTATTTCGAGTTTTATGACCTTCGTGGATATACAAAAATTTCGGCCTCACACATCCCAATAATTTTTATTTTAGATTTAACCCTTGAAGAGTTCGTATCCCTTGGATTCTCCTTGAATTGTACACAAAACCCTTGAAGAGTTCGTATCCCTTGGGTTCTCGGTATTTTAGGTTTAACCCTTAAAGAGTTCGTATCCCTTGGGTTCTCGGTAGTTTAGATTTAACCCTTGAAGAGTCCATATCCCTTGGCTTCTCGGTATTTTAGTTTAACCCTTGAAGTGTTCGTATCCCTTGGGTTTCTCGGAGTTTCAGATATAGCGTAAAATCTTCAGGGCCTAGAATTTTCCGCTCAGCTAGCAAAGGGATAACTGTTAACCACAGACATTTATTTGAAGACAATCAGACTCTTACATCACATTTTATAAGAGTTATAATTACTCAAAATTTTGACCCTTTGTGGGGGAGGTACTTGATGGAGTGGACCGATATTGTTCATTTTCGCACCTGATCTGGCACTGATGCAAATATTGGGATTCGCAAAGTTGGAGCAAAATCGTATTATTCTTTCTCTTTCTGTGCGGTTAATTATTTTCTTTTAAAATGTAGGCATTTTTTTTGGGGGAGGGGAGGTACCACAAGGGTGAACCGATATTGCCCCTCTCCGAACTCCATCTAAGTTCGATTTTCCTCTACCTGTAATAATTATACAATGATGAGGAATGAAAATACAAAAAAAAATCATTTATCGTCTACACAGTATGCCTAAAACTATGCTTCAAAATTATATTGAATTAATTTGAGGCTATAACGATCATCCTTGCAATTGTGGTGCTTAAGTTCCTCTCGATCGAGTATTCTGTGACAACATTGAGGCATAGTCAAATGAAAATATATAGAACAGAAAGTCACTTCTGTTTTTTATGCAGTTGACTCTCAGCAAGCTTTTGCATAGTCAGTCGACCTACACGGTTTCGAAAACTCATTGTATCGTTTTTAAAGAATTTCACTTGATTATTCTCGTATTCTACGATGCAATAACGTAATTTTTTACATATATTTTATTATGGAACAATTTCCTACTGCCTATTCTTTAGTTGTTGAAATTTTTTTAACATTTTGGAGTTGAGTGACTTCTCAATATTTTAACTCATATCACTGAAACAACATAGACGAAATCTGCTGATCCGATTTTTTCGAAGATAAACGGCGAGAACATTCATTCGTCTATATTTTCATTTGTCTATGTAAATGGTCCTAGGCTGAGAATATAAATCCGTTGATATTCATTTATTAAACTTTGCGCAAGGTATAGCCTAATTCACACAATTCACTGTTCATTATAGCTCTGTTCCAGAATCTACTAGTTTTCCAAATTTTTTTGGATATAATATCGTAGTAATTTTTTTTACCATCTTACAGCTTTGGAACATATCATTGGTCTGTTCCAAAACTGCAAGAATGTAAAAGTTTTTACTACGATAACAGATTTTCCCTTTATGATATCGAAAAAAAAACAAGTAAAATATACCCAATGCCCCTCACCTTAGGATAAAGGAAACATTAGAGTCCATTTGACCCACATATACCAATTTTTAGACATATTCATGGGAAAATGTGCCAAAAATCATCAAAATACCGAACATCGGTATACAAAAACGTAAGGGCTATACAAAAACGTGGACCTATACATACAGTGTTTCGCCAAAAGAAGAAATGTGACAAAAAAACATTTAAATGCCGAATATCGGGAGGTACCGTTATATGGGGGCTATACAAAATCGTGGACTTATACATGCAATGTTACGCCAAAGGAGCTAGAACCCATTATGACCTACAAATACCAATTTTCAGACAAATCCGTGAAAAAATGTGGTAAAAGCCATTAAAATACCGAATATCGGGAGGTACCGTTATATGGGGACTATACCAAAACGTGGACCTATAATTACAACTGGGACCCATTATGACCTACAACTACCAATTTTCAGAGAAATTCGTAAAAAAAGTGGCAAAGACAATCAAAATACCGAATATCGGGATTTACCGTTATATGGGGACTATACCAAAACGTGGACCGATATATCTCATTTTCAATGCCAACCATCCTTGACACAATACAAATTGCTCTGCTAAATTTTGGCGCTTTACGTCAAATAATGTGGGCTGTATCGTGATTTCAACAGACAGACGGACAGAGGGACATCGTTAAATCGACTTAGAAATTTATGCTGATTATGAATATATATACTTTATGGGGTCTACGACGAATATTTAAGGATGTTACAAACGGAATGACAAAGTTAATATACCCTCCTTTCAAGGTGGAGAGTATAATTACAAACCTAGTATATGCTTGCAGGTTCTGGAACATAGCACATATTTCCTCTTTAATTGGATTGTATTGACTGTCAAGTTCTCGTAGGTATATTCTTATTTACAAAATTCTGACTATTTCTTCTTTTACTTGATTTGTACTGACATCCAAAAAAGAAAAAAAATACTGGCTATGTCGGTGCAAGAAATCGTAGAGTGAAAACCTCTTCATATTATATCAGACTAGGGAACAATTGTCAAAATTTCATAACGAGCTGGGCGCAATAACGATTCCATTTTAAATAAAATCGATTGATATTGAATATTTTTTATTTTGGACTTAAAAAAAAATTTATAAAAACTAGACATTTTATTAAAAAAAAATAAATACAATTAGAACAAAATTCTGCGAAAAATAAATTTCAATTTTAAAAAGAAGTAATGTATGTATACGACTTAAATATTCTTAAAATTACAATGTCACATAAAAAGTTAAGCCAATTGTATTACACATAAGTTACAATTTATAAATAAAAAGTAGCAATAATTTATTTGTATAGCGTAGCTTTTTTTATAGGTTAAATTGCTGTTTTATAGTAACGAAAGTCGAACAGAACTATTTGGGATAATCATTTGTAAATTTGTGATCATTATAGTATACTAAATCATAGATCAATTCAATTTTGTTCGACAACATTTTCTTAGAACTCTAATTGAACACTAAAAGCAAATTGTCATTTCTTGTTGATATCCAAAGGCACTTTGGCTTTAAAGACATTATGTTATGATGATTATCTATCAGCAATGGTTTTGACAAGCATTTTATTTTCGATTTAGTTTTGGTGATTTAAAAAATTTGTTCATATTTAACATTCGGACAATGACAAAAAAAAACTTATCTAGCAAATCACCAAATCAAAATCGTCTCCACGTGCCAAAATTTGTTTTCAGAACATTTATAGGCATTTCTTTTGTATAATATATAAATATTATTATAAAATATGATGTATAAAAATATATAAATTTATAAATTATTTCTCATTTTTATATCGTTGTACTTTCATACACACATTAAAAACTTACAACTATTATTGGTAAAAAAATAAAATACAATACAATTTGTGTGTTATGTATATTTTCGTTTCATAAATACAGGCAAAGTTTTTTTTTGTGCATTATTGTTGCATTTGTGACAATTATTAGTTCACCATTATTATCTTAATAATACTCTTGTCGGGGAAAATAGTCTGGGAGAAATATATGTATCAGTGTACCCGTCATCATTAAGGCAAAAAAGAATATAACCGCAATCCACCAGAGAATACGTTCCCAGCGACGCACCTCAAGGTTTCGTAACACTCCTATGCCCACCAAAAGACCGGCAATGGCACCCGACAGATGGGCCATATAACCGATTTGATCATGCTGATCGGTGATGTGACGATAAATCGATGTACCCAAATCGGTGAGGCAGAATATGAGAAAGACGAACAGTTGTACAATGGCATATTCCATTTCATTCCAATTCTGAAATTGCAAGGAAAAAGAAACAAATTTAAATTAGTTTCCAACATTTGTTTTGGAATATTTCCAACAACTTACCATAATTATGGTGGCAATATGTGCTGTAATCAGGGCATAAACACCACCCGATGCTCCAGCTAGGAAAATTCGAGGACTGGTCAACGATGTACCCATCGAACCGGCAACCACACCAGCCAAATACACCAGGGCCACACGCCACCAATGATGCACCAATTCCAATGCGACACCCAGGAAAATTTGTATTATCAAATTCATAAAGAGATGCATGAGGCCGACATGCACAAACATGTATGTGACAAAACGCCAGGATTCATAACGTTTGTAGGGATTGTAAATGAACAGGGTTGCGGCAGGACCATTTGTACTCTCACCAATACGTCGATTATTCTCGGGATCGTCTCTGCAAAGAGAGAAAAATTTGAAAAAAAAATTCAAATGCTAAATGTTTATAAGCAAATATCGTGTTTATAATTAAACATATGTTGAAAAATAAAGGAAAAAAGATTTTTTCCAGTTTTGCAAGTCCTAATATTTGCATCAGTGCAAGGCCAGGTGCGAAAATGGACAATATCGGGCTCCATTAAGTACCACCCCCACAAAGCATCAACATTTTTTAATAACTCTTATTAAATGTGATGTAAGAGTACGTTTGTCTTCAAATTACAAACATCACAATATTTTTATTAACCCACGGTTTGGTGTGAAAATAGGATGTATCGGTCCACTCCTTCTGGTAGCTCCCCCACAAAGAGTCAAAATTTTGAATATTCATGAAGCTCATAAAACTCCAAAATTACATCCGATTCCATTCAGATTTGGCAAATCTCAATATTTCTATCAACACAAGATCTGTTATAAAGATGGTAGAGATCGGACTATTCCTTCTGGTACCTGCCCCACAAAGGGTTAAAGTTTTAAATAACCAAAACGATTATTATATCCGAAATAGGCATCCGGTTCTCTTCATATCTCACACATCCCATTATTTCTACTAAAACAAGATCTGCTGCGAAAATGGGATATATCGGTCGAGCGACTTGATCGAAACCCGTGTTGCAGTGGCCGAAAAATGGCTCGTGAGCTGAACATATCGTAATATTCCATTCGACAAATATTGAAAAATGAGTTCGGTGCAAAGCCATTAAAATTCCAAAAAGTGCAATAACTTACATCGCAACATAAAGAAAATAGACTCAAAAGAGCTAAAGAGCTGCTTCGCTTGGCCGAATGTGGTGAACTGCCGAATTTGGTTTTCTCCGATGAGAAAACATTCGTTGTGGAGCAGTTTGTAAACAAACAAATTGCTCGTGTTTACTTGCAAAAATGTCAGCTGAAAATGTCCACCTTCGGTAGGCCACCAGAACTCAAGCGCTGGCAATGGTGATGGTGTGGGCCGCCAAAGTAGCCGATGGTCGCATTCCGCTCGTATTAATTGACCGTGGCATCAAAATAAATACCGAATATTATCGCGAACATATTCTGGAGGGTGTATTAAAGCCTTGGACACGCACACATTTTTGCCGCAGACCTTGGACATTCCAACAGGACTCCGCACTCATCACGCGCCACCCAAGAATAGTTACAAAATGAGGTTCCTCGCTTCATTTCCAACGCACAATGGCCACCAAAATCTCCGGATACCAATCCGTGGGACTATTGTGTCTGAAGTGTTTTGGAAAGCAAGGTTGACACCAATCGACCATGGCATCAGAATAAATGCCGAATATTATCGCGAAAATATTCTGGAGGGTGTATTAAAGCCTTGGGCACGCAAATATTTTGGACGCAGACCTTGGACATTCCAACAGGACTCAGCACCATGGCACTCGGCACGCGCCACCTAAGAATGGTTACAAAATGAGGTTCTTCGCTTCATTTCCAGCGCACAATGGCCACCAAAATCTCCGGATACCAATCCGTTGGACTATTGTGTCTGGAGTATTTTGGAAAGCAAGGTTAGCACTAAAAAATATCAAAGTGTCGATCACCTCAAGCAAGCGCTTCGCTGGGAATAGGCCAAAATACCGCAGAGCAATATTCGGGCAGCGTGTGACGGTTTTATTGGCCGTTTGAAGGCCATAATTCGCAAGAAAGGTGACCAATTTGAACAAATCTAAATTTATTCTAAAATTTGATGCTATTTCCGACATTTTTTGATTTCATTCAATAAAATTTAAAAAAATAAAAAACCAGTAAGGAAAGCTCAAAAGTCGGGCGGGGCCGACTATATGATACCCTACACCACTATGCATATTTAGTAGAGCTCTCGTAAAAAGGTTTATACAGGGCATTTCAGAGCTCTATGAGATATTTGGTACAAAATCAAAATCTATCTAATTCTATCATGCATTTTACGAATTATAGCTATCTCTGAACCGGGTTTCTCCAAATTTGGCGTATTAGCTTCTAGACTGAATTCGGTCTTGTATACGAAAATTCATGCCATTTGGGCTGATATTGGCCATTTGATGCACAATTAACACGAAATCGGATGAAGATATATATGGGAGCTATAGCTATATCTGAACCGATTTTTACTAAAATTGGTGTACTTGCTTCTAAGCTGGTTTCGGTCGGATTTGCCAAAATTGATGCTATTACGGCCATTTGGTGGTCAATCACCCGAAATCGGATGAAGATATATATGGGAGCTATATCCAAATCTGAACCGATTTCGGTAAAATTTAAAAAAGCTATTCCTGTGCTCCATCTAATACCTGGTACCAAATATCACGGTTGTGGAGTGAATATTACGAATGTAAGGGACTAAAACACTAAATCGGATGAAACATATATATGGTTGCTATATCTATATCTGAACCGATTTTCACTAAATTTGATATACTTGCTTCTAGGCTGAATTTGGTCCGATGTACTAAAATTCAGTCCATTTGGACTTATATCGGCCATTTGGTGCACAATTAACCCGAAATCGGATGAAGATATATATGGGAGCTATATCCAAATCTGAACCGATTTCAATAAAATTACAAACAGCTATTTCTGGGCTGTATCTTTTATCTGGTACCAAATATCATTCTTGTGGAGTGCATATTACGAATGTGAGAGGCTTAAACACCAAATCGGATAAATTTGTTGTATTTGCTTTAAGGCTAATTTCGGTCACATGTGCCAAAATTCGGGCCATTTGGGCTGATATTGGCCATTTGGTGGCCAATTACCCCAAATCGGATGAAGATATATATGGAAGCTATATCCAAATTTGAACCGATTTCGATAAAATTTAAAACAGCTATTTCTGTGCTCCATCTAATACCTGGTACCAAATATCACGGTTGTGGAGTGCATAGTAGGAATGTGAGGGACTTAAAGATCAAATCGGATGAAAGATATATATGGTAGCTATAGCTATATCTGAACCGATTTTCTCCAAATTTGATATACTTGCTTCTAGGCCGAACTCGGTTGAGTGTGCCAAAATTCAGGTAATTTGGACTGATAGTGGACATTTGGTGCACATTAAACCCGAAATCGGATGAAGATATATATGGGAGCTATATCTAAATTTGTCGTTGTCGTCGTTGGGCCAAAAAAATATTGTTTGGAAAATTTCATCTCAATCGGATAATAAATGCGACCTGCATTTTGTTCACAAGAATACATGGACAGACGGACGGACGGACGGACGGACAGACGGACTGGCATGCATAAATCGACTCAGAAAGTGATTCTATGAAGGTTCTCAAAAGTAACTATGGGTCTATCTCGTTCCCTTCTCCATGTTACAAACAAATGCACAAAGACATAATACCCTTACCACTATGTGGTGTAGGGTATAAAAAAATAATGACCTCTGATTTTGATGCAGTTTTTTCTATCTCACCCTGTAAGCTTCCAACTCTCTTCAAATTTCACACAAACATTTTTGCTGTCACAAGATCTTTTGTGAAGAAGATATATTTCTGTGAAACCCTTCTGGTACCTCACCCACAAAGGGTCACCACAATTTTCAATGCTCTTATCTGCCATAACTTGCGAAACAAGACAGCGATTCTTTACAACCTTACATAAATGAATATGGAATTTATGATTTCGCATAAAATTGGATATAAATGTTCGATTTCCTTCAAATTTTGCGCATGCCAATATTTTTATCAGTATTATATGAAGTATGAAAATGGAATACTTCGGTCGACAATATCTGGTACCTCACGCACATTTTAACATTTTCTGAAAATTATCACATATCTCATATTAAGGAAGTAGCCAATATAGTCCAAATCTGACACGTCATAATATTTATAGCATATTTATTTAGGTTCGATACGAAATGGACATTATTGGCCCATTCCTTTGGCCCAATATTAAATCGAACATTGGCTGAGGGTATAGATCTGTCGGAAAAAATCAACTGATGCTTTTTAACTTGTTGTTTGTTGGTAAGTTCTTTTGAAAAAAAAAAAAAAATAAAATGACCAATTTTTCGCTATTATCATAAGGTATTCCTCAAATATTTTTCCATTTCCATAAAGGATCAACCACAATATATAATATACTTAATTACATAATAGGTACATCTATTTTACTTGTAATTATTTCATTATTTAAGTACGCAAGACCAGTCACGCAATATGTTTCTATATAAAGACAATATTTTTTGGTAAATAAATATCGTAACAAACTGCCCCCACACACCAACTCCCAGCAATTTACTAAGTATAGGTATATTCTCCATTAAAATCCATTATCTAGATGTTTACCTCCTCCGAAAAAAATAAAGCAAGCAGACATTTATATAAATTGCAAAAAAAAAGAAGACGATGAAAAAATTAATGAACGCTGCGTGAATTTCTAATGAGTTAAAATAGCTACTTAGAGAAAATAATAATTAAAACACAACAACAACAACAAAAACCATACAAAACACACACATTCATATATCCGATAAATCATTCACTTCTCCAACTTACTGAAAATGTATAACATCGACGAGAAACATTATTATCTCCACCAATGAAAATATCACCATAGTCAATGGCGGCGGACATATGGACATCTGTTTCTCATAGGCACCATCCAATTGATCACCCTCCAAGGGTTTGGGTGGCGGTACAACCATACGACAATAGGACGCCAGCAGATTACGGATCATCCATTTGTGACGTTTCGACATCGCATAGAATTCCTCGAAATCCAAATAGCCGTTGTTATCATTATCGGACATTTTCAAGATCTGTTGGGCCACATTTGGTGGAATGTCACGGCAGAGACCGGCTTCTATGAGGCCTTTTAGCTCATGTATGCTAATTTTGCCATCAGCATCGGCATCATGCTGTAAGATAAAAAAATAAGAAAATAAATAAAATATAAAATAAAAAAGCAAAAAAGAAAGAACATCAAATTTAAATCAAAACAAATAAAAATTTGGGTGTGAAAGTAACGAAATGAATGAATTCCATTCATTGGCAGAGGTTCATTGAACTGAGTACTGTAGCTGTGAATAAGTATTTCTACAAAATTATTGTCTAAATGCTAATTCAAATATAAAATATGAGTATCTCTGTGGATGGGCTAAAGGGAGTCTAAAGATACTGTTCGAAAGGGTTTTTAATGGACGAGCAGACAGGGAGGGTTTATAGGAAACATTTCATAGATGAGCTGGTAAATGTGTTTTGAAGCTGAGTTTTTATACCCTATACCACATAGTGGTAAGGGTATTATGTCTTTATGCATTCGTTTGTAACATAGAGAAGGAAGCGAGATAGACCCATAGTTACTTTTGAGAATCTTCATAGAATCACATTCTGAGTCGTTTCTCCATCCGTCTGGCCATGTATTCTTGTGAACAAAATGCAGGTCGCATTTATTATCCGATTGAGATGAAAATTTCCAAACAATATTTGTTTGACCCAAGGACGAACCCTATTGAAATTGCCGAAAATCTGTTAAAATTTAGATATAGCTCCCATATATATCTTCAACCGATTTCGTATTAATTGTGCACCTAATGGCCAATATAAGTCCAAATTACCTGAATTTTGGCACATCCATTAAAATTCTGTCTAGAAGCAAGTACATCAAATTTGGTGAAAATCGTTTTAGATATAGCTATAGCTCCCATGTATGTATTTCATCCGATTTGGGATTTAAAGTCTATCACAAGCGTAATAAGCACTCCACAAGAATAATATTTGGTACCAGATATCAGATACAGTCCAGACAAATTGTATCAAGATCGGTTCAAATTTAGATATAGCTCCCATATATATCTTCAACCGATTTCGGGTTAATTGTGCACTGAATGGCCAATATCTGTCCAAATGACCTGACTTTTGGTAGATCCGACCGAATTTAGTCTAGAAGTAAGAACATCAAATTTGGTGAAAATCGGTTTAGATATAGCTGTAGCTCCCATATATGTGTTTCACCCGATTTGGAATTTAAAGTCCCTCACATGCGTAATATGAACTCCACAAGAATATTTGGTACGAGATATCATAGATATCACTGCCCAGAAATACTTCTGCCAAATTGTATCAGGATCGGTTCCGATTTGGATATAGCTCCCATATATATCTTCAACCGATTTCGGGATAATTGTGCACCAAATGGCCAATATCAGTAAAAATGACCTGAATTTTGGCACATCCGACCGAATTTAGTCTAGAAGAAAGCACATCAAATTTGGTGAAAATCGGTTCAGATGTAGTTACAGCTCCCATATAATATGCTCCATCCAATTTGGGATTTAAATTCCATCACAAGCGTAATAAGCACTCCACAAGAATAATATTTGGTACCAGATATCAGATACAGTCCAGACATACCTCTGCCAAATTGTATCAAGATCGGTTCAAATTTAGATATAGCTCCCATATATATCTTCAACCGATTTCGGGTTAATCGGGCACCAAATGGCCAATATCAGTAAAAATGACCTGATTTTTGACACATCCAACCGAATTCAGTCTAGAAGCAAGTACATCAAATGTGGTGAAAATCGGTTTAGATATAGCTATAGCTCTCATATATATGTTCCATCCGATTTGGTGTTTAAAGTCCCTCACATTCGTAATATGCACTCCACAAGAATGATATTTGGTACTGGCCATCAGATACTGCTCGAAAATACCTCTGCCAAATTTAATCGAGATTTGTTCAGTTTTTTATATACCTTAGCCATATGTACATCTTTATCCGATTTTACGATTATTGTCCACCATACAACAACCATACATTCAACCGAATTTTGCCATTTTGGTGAAACTCGGTCCGGTATATCTATTGCTCCAATAAAATAGTTTTTAATATAATTCTTATCGAAGTCATATCATGCAATATACGGCAATGTTACTTTTTTCTAGAGGTGCAAAAGCTTCCGTCAACTTTTTTTTTTTGAAAATCGATTCACAGTTGGATTTAGTTCCGGAATTGTGACTACTCTGAAGCCGTGGAACGCATTCCTATAAGGTTCGTAGTTGGTTGATAAACTTCACATAAATTCCCAATATAAACTTTTTTGTTACAGGAGCTCTACTAAATACGAATAGTGGTGTAGGGTAGGCCCCGCCCGACTTTTGACCTTTCCTTACTGGTTTACTCGTAACATTTTTGGCATTGAAAACGGAAAATGCTCCACATTAAGCTAGAGTCTACAAATAATGGTATCACTGGTAAAATTGTAGATGATAATTTTGTTAGAAAATCTCATTATTTGTCGGTGGGGCCCCTCGTAATTCCTTTCTGAATTCCGGAATTTCTAAAGATTCTACTTCAATTGCCTAAAATTCGCTATTTGTGTTCCCAACCATTTTTCGGTGAATTGGTAATTTTTCATTATTTGTCGGTGGGGCCCCTCGTAATTCCTTTCTGAATTCCGGAATTTCTAAAGATTCTACTTCAATTGCCTAAAATTCGCTATTTATGTTCCCAACCATTTTTCGGTGAATTGGTAATTTTTCATTATTTGTCGGTGGGGCCTCTCGTAATTAATTTCTGAATTCCGGAATTTCTAAAGATTCTACTTCAATTGCCTAAAATTCGCTATTTGTGTTCCCAACCATTTTTCGGTGAATTGGTCATTTTGCTTTAGCGAAATACATACTAACTACAAAATGTTGTAAGTATGTCAGATATAATTTGATTGAAAAACTAGACAAGTTGCTTGCATTGTTTCCAAAAATAGTATTGTAGATCTCAACAAGATTTCATTCACGCAACTTTTATTGTCCATATTTGGGGAAAATGTTGAAAACACCACATTTCAAATGCTTCGATTTTACAACAACAACAACAACAACAAAACTACGAGCAAACACGCACAAAACCAACATTTTTGTAGTGTGGAACACATTTTAGTTGGTAATAGAGGAGGTGAAGGAAACACTGCAAGTCCACAGATGATGCAAATCGAAAGGACACCCTTTTTATACCCTCAGACATATGGCTAGAGAGGGTATATATATCATTTGATACGGCCAAAACGTGTCTCATCGAAATAACGGTTTTAATCCCTAAGTCTCTTTGAACCAAATCCGTTTTAGGACATTTGGAGCCGATCTGGAGATATTTGTCTGCCTGGCTGGCTGGTGTGCACGATAACTCTCAAAGGGAGTATCCGATTTGGTCCAAACTTGGTACATCGTAATATTTTTGTCAAACTTAGATCGAGTTCGGAGATGGGCAATATGGGTCCACTACTTCTGGTAACTCCCCCACAAAATACCGAAATTTTTAAAAAATATATTTATTGCACACAAAGAGAAACGATAAATCGATTTTGCTCCAACTTTGCAAATCCAAATATTTCCATCAGTGCTAGGTCAGGTGTGAAAATGGATAATATCGGTTCACTCCTTCTGGTACCTCCCTAACCAAGGGTCAAAATTTTAAATATTTATTACTACTATAAAATGTGATGTAAGAGCCTGATTGTCTTTAAATTTAACACATCCCAATATTATATATAATTAACCCAAGGTCTGTCCTTAGTATGAAATATATAGGTCCACTCCTTCAGGTACCTCCCATACAAAATGTCAAAAATTTCAAAGAAAATAATTTATTGCACAGAAAGAGAAACGATAATACGATTTTGTTCCAACTTTGCGAATCCTAAAATTTCTATCAGTGCTAGGTGAGATGCGAAAATCGACAATATCGGTCCACTCCTTCAGGTACCTCCCCACAAAGGGTCAAAGTTTTGAATAATTACAACTCTTATAAAACGTGATGTAAGAGTCGGATTGTCTTCAAATTACACACATCTCAATAAATTTATTAACCCTAGGTCTAGTTTGAAAATGGAATGTATCGGTCCTCTCCCTCTGGTACCTCCCACACAAAATGTCGAAATTTTCAAAAAATATATTTTCTGCACAGAAAGATAAAAGATAATCCGATTTAGCTCCAACTTTGCAAATCCTAATATTTGCATCAGTGCTACGTCAGGTGAGAAAATGGATAATAACAGTCCACTCCATTAAGTCGAATTGTTTTCAAATTTCACACATCCCAATAGTATTATCAACTCAAGGTCTGGTGTTAAGATGGAATATACCGGTCAACTCCTTCTGTTACCTTCCCCACAAAAGGTCGAATATACTCGTAATAAGCTCGTAAAACGCGAAATTACCATACGATTCCATTTAGAGTTGGCACATCTGAATATTTCCATCAACACATTCCTTCTGGTACCTCCCCCACAAAGGTTCAAAGTTTTGAAAAACCAAAACGATTATAAAATCCGAAATAAGCATACGGTTCTTTTTTTATTTCACACATTCCATTATTTCTACTAACTAAAGTTCTGCTGTGAAGATGGAATATATCGGTGAACCTCTTCTGGTACCTCCCTTCAAGGGGCAATATTTTGAATATCCATAAAGCTCATAAAACGCGAAATTAACATATGATTCCGTTCAGACTTTGCACATCTCAATATTTTTATCAATACAGGATATGTTATAAAGATGGTGGAGATCGGACCATTCCTTCTAGTACCTCCCCCACAAAGGGTCAAAGTTTTGAAAAACCAAACGATCATAAAATACGAAATATGTATTCGGTTCTCTTCATATTTCACACATCCCATTATTTTCACTAACTAAAGTTCTGCTGTGATCTCCTCTCCAATATTTTGAATACCCATGACGCCCACAAAAAGCTAAATTAACATCCGATTTCATTCAGACTTGGCACATCTCAATATTTTTATAAACACAAGATCTGTTACAAAGATGGCAGGGATCGGACCATTCCTTCTGGTACCTCCCCTACATAGCGTTCGAAATTTGAAAAGCAAAACGCTCAAAGAAAAGCAAAACGCTAACT